AAATGCACATCTCTCCATCTTTACAATTATTTAACACATATTCCACTGAATGGCTACATCAAAGATTAGTCAAAAATTTTTATTATAAAATAATGCTACTAAAATAAACACACTGCTCAATCTTTGCACATATCTTTATAATCAGTTCTAAGAAAAACTGGGTCAAAAGATATGCTCAAGGCTGATGAGTACCTAATGATACTCAAACAATGGTAATCAATCAAAAGAGAATTTTCGCTGGGGATAAAATCTTACTGGTCTGGTAAACAGGTTTCAGATCAGTTATAGGACAGCGTAACTAATTCCCACAGGATACCTTTAACTGCTGTGGCTCTGACTTGCTCTCCAAAACACTTTTAAAATGACATACAAAAATGCATTATATGCAAAATAAAAGCAGGATTTAATTACAAATAACAAATATATATACATATACATACACACATACACCATACACACACACACACACACACACACACACACACGTGCAAGCCCAAAGAAAATACAATCAACGTTAAGAGGTTTAAGGATTAATTCTAAAAAAATAGTAAAAATTTAATCTGTTGTAAGAGCTTTGCTTTCACGTTGTCTTTTACAAATTTCAGTAAAGAAATTGGCAGGCATGGTGGCACAGCCACATATTCTCAGCACTCCGAGGCTGAGGCAGCAGAACCACCAAATTCAAGGCCAACCTAAGTACAAAGCAAGACTTTGTCTCAAGAAACAAAAAACACAAACAAATAAAAAATTCAAGCAGTAAATTCTAGTGCTGATAGAAACAGGAATCACCAAAACCCTTATTCCACAGATGGAAAAACTGAAGACCAGAAGATGTAACCTACGCAGGCCCAGCCATCTGCTGTTAAAGCAGCGGGCACTACAATTTACTCTTTGAAACATCTAACAAAAATAACGCCATATTCTATACATTTTGAACTTAAACCTCAACCAGCAGCACATATAGCTATGTGGTAGTGCAGAAGTTGTATGGGTTTTTTTTTTTTTTGGGGGGGGGGATACCCCAGGGATTGAACTCATGACGTCATACTTGCCAGGCAGGCACTTACGCTGCTGAGCTAAAAATCCCCAGCCCAGTTGTATGGTTTTACAGAAGAGCTAGCATTGAAGAAAATATTCTACCGTATTCTTTCCTTTATTACTTTCTAGTCACCACCACCTCATTCACCTTTACTCTCAAAAAATGTATTACGCAGGTTTGTATTAGCCCATCATACATATTTTTAAGATTCATAAACCTAAGAATCCAACTTCTTTATAGTAAGACAAGAGTAGTAAGGAGACAAAAGTAACAAAATACAATTTTGTCTGAATTTTTCAGACTTCAGAGAAACAGACAGGTGAAAGTAGCTCCTCAAGGAGCTAAGATAATTAGCTAACAAAACTCAAATTAATCTGCATGTCAATTTAGTGACAAGTAGGAATCTTGGAAAAATCTGAACATTGGTTTATAAATCCTTGCAAGTATTGGTCCCAAAATGAAATAAAAGCTTGTCAAAGCCGAGTCTTTTCGTGTTTTATTTTATAGGTACACTTTAGATTATATATAATAAGTCATCATAGGAATTTGTACCTGTACATGAGAGATCTTCCTTCTTTCATTTCCCTCTCAACCCTCCTCCCCTCTTAAAGAGCTTTATTACAAAAGCTGTTTCTACTTTTTCCTTTTTTTTTCTTGTCCCTGCTTTCCTTTCCCATCCCCCTCCAGTTCCTCTTACTTGAATATTTTCTTTCCATTTCTCAAAAAAGCTGTTTTTTAATATCTGATACATTTATTTAGTATTTAGTATTTAACACATGACTAGTACTAGTCTACACAGTTTTCATGTAATGTCTTGTTTACACCCAAAATTCTGGTGCAGATTCACAAGAAAAGGGCATAACATAACCTGCCCAAGGTCACATTAACTGCAAATAGCAGACAGACTTCTGATCTATTTGTATTAAGCACTATGTAAGTATTAGTTAACAGCAAATTCATAACCAACAAATGACTGTAGTCCAAAGAGCTTACAATCATCAAATATTTAACAGATATTATGGCTAGAAACTTTTAAATGACTAGACAAAATTTCTGCTGCTCTAGCTCTTCAACTGTGGAAGAAAAAAACACCTTTTTCATCATCACTGCAAAGGAAAAAATACACATTTTAAAACATGGAATTGAGCTAAGATCTAAATGACTTCAAATATCTTAAGGTATACCCATTCCAGAAAAGGGAAAACAAGCAAAAAACACTGAGGCAAGATCAGATCTCTCTATAAAACAGAAAAGTAGTGAGAAAATGTGATGCCATAGGGGAGGTAAGCACAGGCTAGTTCTAATACAGTCTTATGAACAGGATTTGTAGATAGTGATAGTTTTTATTTGCTGGTAATGTTGATTGTCATTGAAAGTGTTTAGACAGGGAAATGACATACTTTATATGGGATATAAAAATCACTGATTATACAGCAACTGAGACCACGATAAGGTAAGGACACTAATTAGAGCCAAGAGCAATTATGGCATGGACTTGAGTTCTAACAGAGAAGAGTGGGAAGATTGGGATGCATTTTAAAGTAAAAGAACAAAAACTACTGGCTAATAAGATGTGGGAGGAAAAGAAAAAACTAGAAATCAAGGATAATACAAAGACTTTTGGCTCTATTAAGAAATCACGTTCATTCTTAATACTATGAATCAGTTCTGAGCATGTAAGGTTTAACAGAACCAGTACATATACACAGTTAGTATACCTAAGAGTCAACTAATATTTCAAACTTAACTGCTGGACAAATTTATTACAAAAAGCACAGAAATGCTAAAATAAGGCACTCCTAGATTACAGAAAGAATGCAGTGACAGCCGGGCGCAGTGGCACATGCCTATAATCCTAGTGTTCCAGAGGCTGACGCAGGAGGCTTGGGCTACATAGTGAGTTCAAAGCCAACCTGAAGTACATATTGAGACCCTGTCTCAAAAAACTGAATTAAAAACTAAAAACTAAAAAAGAATGTCATCATAAATGGTTTCTGCCCTAAATATATAATAATAATAATCTTAATCTATAAATCAGTTATGAATTACTACAATTTCCAAACTACTTCATGTTCTACGTGTCCTAACTCCTGCCTATTAGAATAAATTCACATTGATGAAGCCTCCACATCAAAAAGTTCAAAAAATAATTACCCTCATAACTTTTGGGAGGGAAAAGGTTATCGGGTACCTTGTTTCTAAAGTACAAAAAAGTTAAGTCACCAGACCAATAGGTACATACAACAGTACTGCCTTTCTGAAGACAAATGGTGTTGCTAAGAACATTAAGAATCAAAACATAAGTGAATTTTGACAAGAAAATTTCTTATCACTAACTTAATTTTACTTTTCTATAGTATATTTTTGACTATTAGTTAATTCATCTTCATTCACCACCATAACACCTATTACCCAAAAAGTGTAGTAACTATTTATCTGATGTACTGTTCTGATTTAAATTGTACAGTTATTGAGCTGGCGATGCAGTCTAGTGGGAAAGCACTTGTATACCATAAGCAAGGCCCTAGGTTGGAACTCTGGCACACACATACACACATACACACACTATATACATACACACACACAAAAAAAAATAATAAAATAAAATAAACAGATTTTTACAATATAAAAACTCTTCTCAACACTAGGGAAAGGATGGTCATTATTCTTCTAAATTTAAAATAGTAGCCTAAGGCTGGGGGTAGAGCTCAATAGTACAGTGCTTGCATAGCATATATGAGACCCCAGGTCAATTCCTCAGCATGAGGAAGGAACAGACTAAGTATGGACTACAGCTATAACAATCAAAGCACTTAATCTTTTTCAATCAGAAAAAAATCATAATTAAAGAATTCCTGGGCTGGGGATTTAGCTCAGCGGCATAAGCGCCTGCCTCGAAAGCAGGCAGTCATGAGTTCGATCCCTGGTACCGGTAAAAAAACGCAAAAAAAAAAAAAGAAAAAAGAAAAAAAAAGAAAATTTCAAAAGAATTCTTGAGCTTATGAAACTGAAAAATTCTACACCAAATGCTCACATTAACCTAAATTATTTCCAACCTTTGCATGCATTGGAATTATCTGAAAGACTTGCTAAAACCGACCCAAGTCTCACAGAATGAGGTCTCAAGGGACTAAAAATTTCCTTCAGAACTAAAGTTCTTTTGTTACGCTGGCGTTGATACATCTGACACCATACACTCCAAATACCATTTAGATTCATGGGGCATGGCTCAATGGTAGAGCGCAATAATTTTTTTCCCCCCAATATTGGCCCTGGGTTTCAAACTCAAAACTGGGGGAAAAAATTATTGTAAATCTCAAATCAGTTAGATTATATAGCACTTACAAGGCTATTAAGTTACATGTACTTAGAAATATAAGCCTTTGGGAAGTAATGAGACAGCCTGTAGGACAATCCCATGTACAATTCAATTTTTAGCTATAATTTCTGAATTTATTGGTTTCACTGTATCAGTTCTCTGCCCATGTCTCCACCGGGAGCAGCAAAGCAGAACAGTGGCTCTACAAAAACACAGAGAGAACTGCCCGGGTATCTTCTTATCTTCTCCACAACAGTCTGCTGGACTAATCTCACAATGCCGAAATAAAACAGGGCACGCGGCGGTACTAATGAAAACCAGTTATTTCACTAAATGGGAATACTTAATACCTTCTTAAAAATTTCCTTTCATACTTTATCCAACATTCATTTGTGATTGCTGAAAGCATAACTTACTTTTATCATTAAAACTGGAAACACCTATTCTAGTAAAAATTAAACATTTCTTAGAAACATCTAATAAAAATTGAATCTAAAGTGGCTTTAATCTGTACCTTAAGAGGCTCCTCCCCGACCCCTGCCAAAAAAGAGAGCTGAAGACTATTCCAAGTACAAAGATGATTTTACACATAATGATCCTGCAAAAATTAACTCATTTGTCTCTAAAGCTAACAGGACTTACGTCTCATGAGTTCCAAAAAAGAAGATGGGCAGTTTGTTTGTGGGTGGCTTTACCGCTCCATCAGGAACTTCATCTACCTAAAAAAAAAAATTAGAAATAGTAAAAATTTTTAAATCATACATACCTTGACACACATGACTAAACTAAGAACAACAGATCCAAAAGGATCGCCTGTAAAACAGACCCATTTTACAGGTCCATTATACTATATTCTTAATTCTAAAACCTCAATTATACATAAACAAGATTTTTTTTCCCAAAACTTATTTGATGACAAAACTCAGACTAAACTTATTTGATGACAAAACTCGGACTAATACTAAGGCTGTTATTTATTTTATCCATCTAATGTTTCCATTATAGTTTCTCTGCAGAAATGTTGTTACGTTATGTGTTATCAGCCCGAGATTTAGCTCAATGGAACAAGCAACTGTGTGGCATGCACAAGGTCGTGAGTTTGATCCTCAGTACAAAAAAAAAAACACAACTTCACATTATGTGTTATCCCAGGCCTCAGCAACAGTAAAATATATGGAAAACATATCACAATCAACTTCCTAAAAATCTCAAAATTCTGAATTCTTAAATATGTTTGCCCTTACACATTTCACAACAGGAGTCTCAATCTGTTCCACAATCTTAAATGCTGTTTATGCAAAATGGCTAAGCAAATAAAAGTAATGTAAAAGCAGACACTGCCAAAAGTTTAAAGCAGTACTTCTCAGTTTAAAACGCATAACTAGACTATCCTATATGGCTAACACTATATGGGGGTCACCTATTCTTTTGGTTCTCTTTCAATCCTTTCTTTTGGGGGGACAGACACGGAGACAAAGTCTTGCCGTGTAATTCATTCATATGGCCATTCACACTGGCCTTAAATGTACTATGTAGCCCAGGCTGGCCTGACTCTCAAGGATCCTCCTGCCTCAGCCTCCTAATTATAGGTGTATTATATCTAATACTTCTGTGATGTGTTACTTTCTCTTATCCCTCTTGTTCAAGTTATCAAGCAGTACCACCTAGTCAGAATTGAGTATCATTTCTAATTTCAATTTCATAACTTCAAAAACCATTTTAATTCAAAAATTAGTTGACTTTATAATGGAGCTGACCAGCAGAGGGCCTACTATGTCCTGCGAACATTATAGAAAAAAAGGTCATACATAAGAATGACTAAAAGTCATCTGCAGGGAAACACAGGTTTCACTTAATGCATCACAACCCAAAGGAACTGAATTTCTCCACCTATACAATGAAAATTATACTCATCATTTCAACTGTGTAGAAAGGCCCCAAGAACTGCAAAAGCCTTCTCAGTCCTTAAAATAAGGGACATATTCTGTCAACTTGGTTCTGCTGTTGCAAATAATCATGAAAAATAAATCATCAAATTTGGGACATGAAGAGAAAAAAAATGTTAAAGCCAAAATTGGAAAAGAGGTGTCACCTACTCAGCTGAGACCTTAAAATACTCTACATACATTATAGAAAAGATTTAGAATTTTTAAACCAAAAAGAACTCAGGTAAAAAAAAATTATGCAATTCTTAGACATAAAAGCAAATCAAACTGCTTCTAAGAAAAAATGAGGGAGAAAAGGAAAACAGTAAAAAGTTCCCACTCCAATCTAAATGAACTCATTAGCAACAGAACTTGTTAAAGAAAATACTCTGGCCATCCTAAGACTACTTTATTTTTACTTTTAATAATACTCTTAGTCACCCAACATACTGAAGGGACTGAGGAGGATGGTGTGGGAGTAGAAAATTTTCTAAGTAATTTCATTTGGCTCCTAACTACTTTGGCGTATGGAAATCTGAATATAGATTTATCAGATAACCTCACTTTTTTTTTTTTTAGATAACCTCACATTTTATGACACCTCAAAATTAAAAAAACTCAAGAAAAACTATCTTAGAGAAATTTTAAACTTGCCCAGGTCACTACACTTTTTTTTTTAAATATGAAAAATTGTTTTATAACTGCATGATTATGTAACTAAGGACTATGAAGATATAAAAAATATTCAGCTTAAGGCCACTGCCTCCAAGAAGTTCATAATGTATTTGGAAGTTAGAACATATACAAAGCAAGAATTAAAAGATTTTCTAAAAAACAAATTAGAATACCAAATACATAGAAAAGGGTTGTGACTAGGGTGTTCAAGCCAGACTCCCCTGAAAAATCAGGCCTAATAAATTAGGCAAAAGCAAGATGTAGAAGCAAATATGAAAACTGAGTATATGAAGCACTGCATGAGAGAATCAAGAGCAGTGATCATTTTATATCTGAGTAGGACTCTCAGCTCCTCACTCCAGGATTCTGTTATCTAATGGATACTTCCCTATTCCTCTTCCCAGCTGACATTAACTACAACTACAGGACTTATTTTTAAGCAATATCTTTTGTAAGAAGAGTAAATTAGAAATAGAGGTTTTTAAAAACTACAACTTTAGATCAGAGGGTTACTCAAGGATCTTGACTTTAATTCACAGGATCTCAACATTCTTTAGGTTCTATGCATCAGGGTCTCAGAACCTAAGTCTCCCCATAAACTAACAAAACCTCTTTTCTGAAAATACAGCTCAGATATTCAGTCTCAAATTCTAAATTCACGAAACATCCTGGGTTCTTAATGATCTTGCCTTAACACTAGATGTGAAACCCAGGATCTGGTCCATTCTTCCTTTCGCCTATAGGAAACAAAAAGGAAAAACAACTTCAAGGCCCTAAAGCAAATGACATGAGTATAATCATGGAAATAAATTTTCTGGGTATTCCTTATTATTCTTGTTGGAAAAATTTCAAGGGTGTCCAGTCCTTAAGCTCTTTTATTAAATAGACAAACCGAGAAGGTTTCACCAACTGAGCATCATGTGCATTTTCAAAAACTCTAGAAACCCAAATTAATCACATATACTTGTCTCTCTGAATTGTCAATGTTTCACTAATTTAACATAAAATTTGGATTATTTCACCCACAATGGAATATTAACTGGATTATTAATAACTGGATTACTTCACCCACAATGGAATATTAACTGGAATGCCGTCTAAGTATTTCCAGTGAAGAACACCTGTCAAAGACAAGTCAAAAAATGATCCACAGGGAAATACAAAGATAGCAGGAATACCTGTATTTTTACAATTATATGGGAGATTACTACACAAAAACTAAAATGAAAAGTCACGTTACACACTGTACTAAAGATGAGCTGGTGAGAAAAAAAGACCACAGAAATTAAAAGATGAAGGCCTCTGAGAACGAATGGAAGCACTGCTGAGCGCAAAAGCTACAAATCACTTACTCGAGCTGGCCAATGAGGATAACCTTTCATCTTGGCGAAGATGAGGTCTCCAGGTTTGAAATCGCGAGTCATGTTTCGGGGGCGAGGCTAGGGGGTCCAAAACCCAGGAGAAAGCGCGGCGGCGCGCAGCAAAGGGATGCTGGAGCGCTGAGCGGAGCTCTGGTTCCCAAGCTGGCGGACTGGGGAGGATGCCTCCGGGTGTCCGACGCGCCTACGAGACGGCGGGGAGGGCGGTTAATACGAAGAAACCCGAGGGGAGGAGGTACGGGGAGGGGGAGGGGCGGGCCGCAAGAGTAGGGGTGAGGGTGGGGGCGGGGGTGGGTAGGATGGGGTGGGGTGGAGGTGGGGGTGGGGTGGGCTAGCAGAATGGGGGTTGGGAAGGAGGGCCGCCTGTAGCTCCTCCCCGAACAGCACGGTCTCCACAGCCCCCCAAAGACGCCACCACCTGAGGCAAGGATGCTTCCCAGCCCTAAATTCCCTTTTCTCCCGCCCCATCTTTCCCAAGGCTTTTTCCACAAAGCTCAAACCCAAAGAGGAAGAAAAAGCAAGGAGACGGAAAATCGGCGGATTTTAAAAGAGTTTCCCGCTCCGCCCCTACACGATCTTCCCCCCACCCCCAGCCTGCTGCCCGACGGCTGCAGCCCGGAGCGGCCCACGTCCCCTGCTCCGCTACGGCCAGCAAGGCCACTGAGGGGGGGCGGGGCGAGCGGCCGCCGCCCGCTCACCTGCCGAGGCCGCGGGCACTGGGGCTGCAGTGGCGGGCCTGCCGCCTCTGCCCGCGACCACGCAAGCCACCTGCGCCACCAGCTGCCGCAGAGACGTCTCAACGGCTAAGAACCACAACCACCGCCGCCACTACCGCCGCCGTCGCTACGCCGCTCCCGCGCGGCTCCCGCTCGGCGCCCGCTAGCACTAGGGCGGGACCATCTGCTCCCCGAGGTTGGGGGGGATATGACTACAGCCCCCAAAATCGTATGACTCTGAGGCGGAGCTTTTGAAGACCTTGGATCCCCAGATTCCCTTGGAACTCATAACTATACGCAGGTGAAGACAGACACGGGTGCGAAGGAATGAAGCACTTAACGAAAATAACTGAGCTGTTTGCGGCTCCCCCCTGCGGTTTACTGAGTGGTCTGCCCCGGCCCGCCCCGGCTGGCTGCTCTGCGTGTGTATTTGTATGTGTACTGTATGTAAAAGGCGGGGAGAGAGGAAGCGATTGTTGTGGATCGGGTTTGGGGGCGGGTATCGAGGCCTGTAGCCTTAGGCAGCTTGTTAGAGAAACCTGCGATCTAAGCTGTGAGTTTCCCAGGATGGGGACGTTTTGAAGCTGTGTTTACACGATTTGCATCAGCCAAAAAAAAAAAAAAAAAAAAACGGGGAGGTGTACAAAAAAAACCATAGATAACTGGATCATGAAGCGCTTGCAAGGTGTTCAGCTTGCAGGCCTCTTGCACCTACTTGAATAGGCCTTTCACTCTCCTTTTTCTGGAGACTGTAATAGAATAAAGGCCCATTTCTTTTATATTTAAGCACTGGGAACTGTTAAGAAAAATGCAGTCCTAACGAATTAAAAATGTGAAGAGTAGAAAACAATGACAGGAAAACCTAAGCCTGTTAGATAGGATGTGGGTTTGGTTGGGCCCAAACTCATTTTAGCTGCATCTGTATTTTATTTCCCTACCAAAATGGTAGGTGGTAGAGTGGGAAAATGTGACTAAACCTCAAAGTATTTTTCAAGAAATTTTAAAGATTATCGTATTTTTGCTCCTTTAGCCGATGCATGTTTTTAATATATTGGCAATTTGCCCAGCCTTCTGGTGTTAATACTTTGATTAAAGCTACCTCATCAAAATGCCCCAATTTTATTTATCCATTTACATTCACCCAGAATCCCAATAAATATGTGTAGTGAAATAAGAGCATTTTGAGCATTAATAAGAATTAATCTTAAATTTTGTTTCATTCTCACTGAACTCCCAAGAAATATCTACTGCATGTCAAGCAGTATTGGGAATACAACTGAACAAGGGCAAAGCTTGCCTATTGAAACAGGCTGAAAATATCAAACAAAACATTAAAATATGAATGTATTGCTTTAGATAAAGAACTCCAACATGGAATAAATGTGGAAAAACTTTGAGTAGGCAAAAATTGAAAGTTTTTTTTTTTTTTTTAAGAAAAATAACATGGGGCTGGTCCAATGGCAGTGGGTTATCAGAACTTATTAACATTAGTGTCACTAAAGTTGGTATACCACCCCCCCCCCACTGCTAAATTTGACTGGCTTAAAAAAAAAAAAGAAAAAGAAAAAATAACCTGTGTTTAAAAAAGAATGAAAGAAGACATTCCCAATGTAAAATGGCCTGCAAGGAGTCCCAAGAAACTAAATCATAGCCTGGCATTATGCAGAGGATTACTTGGGGAGGAAAAAGAGAAACTGGCAAGGGAGAGGCAAATGTTGAGCAATGTCTTCAAGTTGCTTATCTTAAAATTAAGGTCACAGGGCTGGGGTTTAGCTCAGCAGTGTAAGTGCTTGTTTGGCAAACATGAAGTCGTGAGTTCAATTCCTGGTACAAAAAAAAGTCACTTTGTTGTATACTAGGGAGTTATCAGATGTTGCAGGACAAAAAAATGAGTAAAAATGATGATTCTTGAAAAAGTTATTTTTGCTATTTCAAGGTGGACAAAAGTAGAAATAAGCTGGAGAAACTCTAGTACTTACTAAATGACCTATTTATGTGATTGATTACGCTGAATAAGACAAGGAAAGGTGTAACTAATTACACAAAAGAATAATTGTCATGTGTTGGTGCCAAATCATGCCCAAGAAGCTGAGCATGGTGGTGCGCTCCTGTAATCCCAGCACTTGGGAGGCTGAGACAGAGGAAGTTCCTTGAATTCAAAGCCAGCCTGAGCTACGTAGTAAATTCGAGGCCAGCATGGACTACATAGCGAGAAAAAAAAAGTCAATCAATCATGCACAAGAAAAGGGGCAAAAGGATGGTCTGAGGAAACTTCCAAGATATTGAGTGATAGAGACCAAGGCATCATCCTACAGTCAAATTTTTGTCACCTCCTTTGCTTTAAAACCCTTACACAATTCCAAGTGTAGTCAGGGCCCAGCAGCCTCCTGGCTGCTTGTTAGTTGCTCACTCCCCCTCAGAACTACTGAACCATAATTTGCAGTTTAACAAGGTCCCCAGGTGATTTCTTAACATATTCAAGTTTGAGAAACTGCTCCAGGAGTGTTACTACAGGATGTAAGGATTTAAAATCTTGTGGGGAAGACAGGCATGTAATAGATAAATTATAACTAATATTTAAAGATAATTTATAGTACTAAATTACCATAACAAGAAGTAAAGATGGGATGGAAATAAGGAAATAAACATATTGATATGTTAATACCAATTATTGATAGTTGATGAGTTAGTGTTGAACTAAGTATGATGCTTAGCACTTGCTATCTGTAAATTTTGCCAATTTTAACTCGGGATAGTCTGCAAATAATAGGTGACACCATTTAAACAATAAACTAAGGGAAATGAGATGGTAGTTTTAAGCCTCCAGAGAACAAAAGCTCAGGATCCCAGAGAGCAGCAGTTGTGAACCTGAGTAGGAGGGGGCAGAGGGATAAGGAGGCAGGAAGGAGGATAGGCACAAAGCCACTTGGAGAGCTTTGCTGAACTGCTAAGAACTGTGCTCCTCCCAGCCCTGCTTGATCCTGTGCACCCTTCCCCCACGGGGTTGGGGGGAGTATGGTTTCCAAAGCAAGCCAGCAGGAGTGGGCTGGCCACTTAACCATGTTGAGATAGGAACTTGACCCATATTGCCTCATGTAATCAGGGTGTTACTATACTATTTTAAAGATGAGAAAACAGGCTCACAGAAATTAAGCAAGCTGCCCAGGATTACACATGGAGGCAAGTGGCTGAGGCAACCTTCCAACTCAAGGGCTTGCCTTGTGATCCCACATGGCCTTTAGGTGGGACAGGGAGGCAGCAAGGCTGCAGGCTAGATGGCTTATAATTAGAAAAAGATGCTGAAAGTAAAAGCTGCCCCGTACTCTTATTCCAGCTTCAAATTTCCTAATAATCTCCCTGTACCCTACCCTATTCCCCGGCTTTCCCCCACTACCAGCTCATTCTGTTTAACTCTTTCTGGACCTAAAGGACTCAACCCAAAACTCACAATCTGGAAAGGCACTAATTTCATCTTCCAATGGCATAATTATTTACAATCTTTTCTATTAGTTTTTAAACTACTTAAAAGTCAGCACCATCTTATTTATCAGAACTACACTTTATAGGTCTTCAATGAATACGTCTTTCAATAAATACTTATTTAACAAAATGAGAGGAAGGAGCAGGTGATAAACTCTTCAGTCCTAATCATTTAGGTTGAGGAAACAAATAAAGAGACACATGAAAATATTGTTTTGACTTGAATTTTTCATGTACTTAAGGTTAACCCTTTAAAAGCATTAGTTTTACTACCAACATATTAATTTCAAAGGAAATGTTACTAAATGAAATTTTATACTTACGACAGACTGAACAATGATACTCCATTTCACACCTTTTACATAATTCCCCATCTTTTTCATTTTTATAAGCAAATATTTGCAGTACATAATGATTATATTCATTGTGAGGCATAATCCCCAATCTTAATATATAGTACTAATAAGATGCCTTACACTTAATGGTGTTTATAGTAATTATTTATCTGGGTGTATGCACATAAACCTACCATGGAACTGCAACCCCAGACCCTTTTTTTTATTTTGAGACAAGGTCTTGCTACAGGATTTGAACTTTTAATCCTTCTGCTTCACACTCACAAATTTTGGGATTATAGATGTGTTTCAGCTACCCTCCTCACGGGGAAATAGTGAAAAGTCAGCAAAAATATAGGAAAAATAAAAGGCACCACTCAAAGAGCTGTTTCAATCAGAGGTGGGATGTGATAAATCCAGTCTAGGCCTTCCTTCTCCTAAAAATCAAGGTGCCGGCTCAGAACTGTGGCTCTCAGGTGAGGAAGAACCAAGAGGTACTGTCTTGCGAGACAGTGACTAGCTATTGTTCTCTACTGGTTTACCAATGTGCCAAAGAGTTGCTGCACCCGGGATCAGGGAAGTCTTTGAATCTGGATATTCTAGGTAAGTTGTATAGAAGGACAAGCTCAA